TATGGGCCCCAGAAGGAGGTGCCCCCATCCTCCATTGTTTTCAATGGAAGGGAAAATGCCTTGTGAGCAGAAGCTGAATCCCTGTGCTGCCTGTTACAATTTTGTGTGCCAGTGCCCCCTAGTGCAGCTTACAGGAAACTATGGTTCCAACCCCAGGACTCTCTTCTTATCCCAGTTTCCTGTTACATGAACTCATTTTAAGATTCTCCTCTCTTACTACCAACTCCCAGCCTTCAACTGGCTTACACTCCAACTGTCCAAATCTTAACTGTGTCCTGTTCCATAGTCCATAGCTCCCATTGGCTGGTTCAGAGCACACTCTCATTGGCTTCTGTCTTGCTGGCGTAATTTTAACTGTACTACTTGTCACACTTAAATTGAAGCCTTTAAAATAAAATGTGTGTGGATGCTTGGATCAAAAGCCCAGAGCACAAATATTTTAATAAAGAAATTCAGGAGATATATTTTGAGGGGTATTGTATTAGTCTCTTCAGTTCTCCTGTAAAGGAACAGGAACTAGACAGAGAGGATAAATGTTAATCAGGTGTGCCCCAAGAGTTTAATTAAAAATTATAATCTTATTCAGTGTGATGAAAAGTGGATTAGTTAAAATTATAGTGTAATGTGAAAGAGAAAGAGTCTCTGTACTTGTTTATGTTTTCATAAAATTCCTGTTTAGACAAATGGCTTAGATCAGGGTTGTTGTTTTTTTTAAATACAATCTTATATATAATAAGAATAAAGAAATGTTTACAAACGCTCCAACTTCTTGCATTTCTTAAATGACCCAGATCTTTAACACAAGGTTTGCCTCTGCCTAGAAACGAAGTGGCTTTTCTTCTGCTCATTCAGCTGTTAGTTCTGGGAAAAGCCCAAAGAGAAACATTTAGATTGGAGGGGTCTTTGAGAAAATGTGACAGTTGACTGATGAGCATCCATAAAATGACAAAGAATTGCTGTGTGGAGCCTGTGCATCACATCGCTTCACCCTGGGAAACTAATTGCTTTGAATTGTTAATAGTAACATTATTTTTCTGGCAATCATTTCTTTTGAATACCCAAAATGAGCATGAAACAGCTCCTTTGACTGGACATAAAAGTTAAATGTCCCAATGTTGATCAAATTAACTTCAGCTATGTGACAATGGACTATATTTGTGAGAAAATAATGAAGGTCACAAAGGAGGGGCTTTATGCCAAGATTTCACAGTTGTAATGTAAAAAGTGTTTCAGTTCAACTAGGCCCAGCTACATTTCAAAGAAAAAACAAAAACAAAAGAACTTTGTCACTTTTGAAGGGGGGGGGATACCCACTCTGGATAACTTCAGGATGTTTCAGAGACTGGCACAACAAGAGCAGCATCTGACTAATCCTTCATCAAAACACAGCAGTAAATCCAGTGGCACCTTAGAGACTAACAACAGTTATTCCAGTCTGAGCTTGTGAGACTGAGTTCACTTCTTCAGAGATAATATTCCTCCTGCTGTTTTGGAAGATCTGAGCTCAGTCCCACAAAAGCTTATACTGGAATAAATGTTAGTCTTTAAGGTGCCACTAGGCGTCTGTTTTTGTTCTGGTTGTTTTTTTTTCGGGGGGGAGGGTGTCACAATAAACTAACACTGTTAACCTATTGGAATAATCTTTCACCATCCTGGTTCTTATTAGAATGCTGAATGAATGCTCATATAGGATCCAATCCTTTCGTTCTCAGTCTGATAAAAATATCTTGGATGCACAGAATTCCCTCCCCTTCACCACCCAGATTACAGACCCAATTTTAAGAAGTCCAACGTTTTGTACTTAAAGAACGTCTGGGAATCGTCAGAAAGAAAGCCGTGCAATGATTTGAAGCAAGCACCTTCTGCTTCCAGAGCTATACGTTCACTTATTCCTCAAACACCTGTAGCCAACTGGATGCAAATATGAGAAGGATAAGGATAAAATGCAATACAAATGTTCTACAGAAGAAGGTTCTGGGGATTTATTTAAAAAATCCTTGAAACTACTTTTAAACCAGTAAAGGTAAACTATGCCACATGCATCCATATTAGTCATTAATAACTAACAAAACAATGATACGCATGTGCTCCACAGTGGGTGGTGGGTGGAGGAATGTCACTCTCTACAGAACCATATTAATCTTAACATTTAACCCCCCCCAAAGAATTAATTATTTACAATGATTCAGTTACAAAACAACCAACTACAGGGTGTATGAATTTATTTTTGCAGGCACAGCTATTTTAATCATACTTGTCTGCATTAATTCAGTTTTGTAAAAACAGAGAAAGTCAATTTGCATTCATTCCTTTTTTGTAAATAATTAAGATGGAAAGCAGTCTATGACGGTCACTTCAGTCTTGCATAAATAGTGGTAATTAACTGGTGTTCACACTGTCCAAGATGCATCCAGTAGACAGGACCCATTTCACTTACTCCCACAGCGACTTAAATCAACTGTGAAAAGATGTTTCAGTTTCATTCAGTGAAGGTTTAGCTCATTAAACTCTTTTCCTTCTCTGTATTGTTCTCAGAGCTTGAACTGCACTGCTGTTAAATGCTCTTTAGCAGTTTAAAGGCTTTAGAGGAAAAGACTTATCAGCCTCTGGTTTTAACAGCACTAAATCTGCATTATTAGGGCATGCAGATAAGGGGATTTAAAGGCCCGGCTTGAAACCTCTCTCTTCTGTGTTTATCTGGCACCGCATCACTCCTGTAGCTCAGCTGGAAATGTAGATCTATGAAGCTTTAAAGGGAGATTAAAAGCCAAGAAAAGAAGTACTTTCTTTTCCTATAGATGCTCTCACTTTCCCTTTTCCTACTGTCTGAAGGAGTGATGGCAGACAATGGTCCAAGATGGTTCCCAAAACCTTCTGAATGGGGGCACTGTTGGTGGTAGCATTCATTCAAAGTGAGCTTCAGTGTATTGTCCTCCCCAATCAGCAGATCAGAATAGAGTTTGCTGGTGGCTGCCAAAAGGTTAGCTGTGCTGATGAAAGGGGTTTCCCATTATTCACTGCTCTTACAGAACTCCCCTTTTGTGCTGGGCAGCCCATCATTTCACTACGGAGGTCCGGATCTGCGGCTGGCTGCTCTCTCAAAATGAACAATCTATGTGAATGCAAACCCACAGTGGTAGTGCCACTGAAAATTGAGGGTTTTCTTTTTTTCTGAAAAGGCAGGAGAGCTAGCACTGGGTTTGGCAATGTCACATTTTAATGATATACCACCGTGACATCTTTGACCCACAGTTAACACTACTGCTGCCAGACAATTTCCTTACCCTTGCCAGGGCATTGTGGAGGTATCCAAGAGCACCCGAAGAAAATGAGAAATAATACACAAGTGCTTTACAATAACAAAAGCAAAAATAATGCTTTCCCCTTGAAAAATATTAACTATTGCACATAAAGTAGCACTACCTGATTGGTTTAATAGCCTGTTAATATGACACTCACTAGAAAAGGGGTGGGTTGAAGGGAGATTGTGGTCTAGTACTGGACCATTGACTAATACCTGCTGGTCGCTGGGATTGTTGCAAAGAATGCTGAATTAGATGGACCTTGATCTGACCCAGAAAGGCACTTTGATGTTTCTTAATGACAATGCAGATTCAGGATCACTTAACACAGATTAGTTGTGCTGAGAGTTCCAGAGAATGGATTCTTCTTTTGTAAATTAGATACAAAAAGGTGGACCACAGAGATTCGACTAAAAACAAATTAGGGCTGTGCAAGACTGACTGTTCTGCGTGCAAATTTTAAGAAATTACTTGTTGCAGTACTAGTTTGAACTGGCTTCGTGATTTGGGAGGAAAGCAGTAATCAGTAGCCTCCCAAAACAAAGGGTTTGAGGGTCACACATACCAAGACAACACCAGATGAATCAGGCAAGCAAACCAAAACATATGCAACGTTCTTTTAAAATATTTTAAAATTCACCCCTTTTCTTCTCTTAGTGGCAACCTCCCAGCAGGTCAATAGCAATCATTATGAGCACAGAAAAGTGAGTGGCCTCATCAATGGGAAAACATTAATTTTACACTTCGTACTAAACATTCTAAAACAGAAGTTTTGGGAGAAAAATCAGGGTTTGCCAAATGAAGCTACAGAGGCACTGGTAAGTAACACATTATGACCATACATTTTTGTATTTTGCTAAGTGCTTAATCAGAATCAATTTCAGCCTAGATGCAATGCCAACGTTGCGCTTGAAGACCTACAGAAGTGACAGTCTGTACCCAGAATTCGGCCACAGATTCCCATGTGGCTTTCAGCAAGTAAAAAGTCCATTCTCAGTCTATCACCTATAAAACAGAAATAGTGGGTTGGATCCAAAGATACACAGAATAGAAGGAAAAGAGGCAAACAGCCCTCACTCACAAATGCTTGCACAAATGCTCTGCTTGTGTACGAAGGGTGCACAAGACATCTTCCGCATGTGAAAGGGCAACTTTGGAGCCAACCCAGTAAGCCACTCTCTGCAAGAGAAGTAAGCTGTCACCACAGTAAGGATAAAAATGGGCTGAGCTCATTAACAAATTAAAGTTTGGTGTTCAACCTCCATGAATTATTAACTTGAAAATGTGTGTGCATCTGTATATATTTTTTCCAGTGGGATTTCTATTGCTTTCCATTGGCTGTGGACTGCAGATGTCCTGTTGGCTATGCCTGGCTTTTCTTCCACAGAATAACGTGCTTGTCCTCAACTGTTTTAAGCATTGAATTTCAGGAAACAGTGCAAGACCTATCCTATTGTTGGTTTATGCATTAGATGGGATCTCAAGAGCTTCTACAGCTTGTGGTTGTAACGTCCTCACTCATTTGTTGGGCAGTTGTGTTAATTATTTATTCTCTGCATTTTCACTCATAGAAGCCATATACATTTTTTTAAAGTGACAACGATCTCTGTTTTTAAAAAATCCAGAACATAATTAAAAAAAAACCAGGGGGATAAAAGAAGCTAACAGAGTTAACTACCTACCTGTCAAGTACATAACCAAGGGCCTTATGCCTTATTCCTGAGTAAACCGATGGGCTTGTTTCCCAAGCAACTAAATTGGAAGCATCATGGAAAAGATGAATGTTTACCAAGTCAAAGGCACTGTGACAAAAGGAAGAAAAGATTGGCTCAGAATAAAGTAAGGACAAACAGGAAGAAGGAAAATGTTTAGGCTTACTGAGCAGCAACTGAGTCGTCACTGACTCTCCATTTCTAAACTCCTATATAAAGTTGGAAAACATCTCCAAAATGTGCTCGGATCCAGCTCTTTCACTTTATTCCTGCTTCACTGTCTCAGAGTTCCAACAAAATTTGCTACAATTATGACCTTTTAAAACTCTTGGACATTTAACATTACAGTTTCACAAACATCAACAGATTATCAAAGTGTATTTGGAAATAAAGCATCAAATTGTAAAAAGCACTATTGATACTCCCGTGAAGAAAGGAGAAGGAAATGTACAGCCATCAGTGGAATCCTAAGCAGAATCACACCTTTCGGAGCTCATTAGAGTCAATGGGTTTAGAAGGCTATAACTCTGTTTAGGATTGCACTGCAAATATCAGTGCTTGAGGATGTTATAGATGTGATTTGAGGCTGCTTTTCCAGCTTGGAAAAAATAAAAGAACTTCATAATTCTCTGAAGGGCTTTTTCTCAATTACATCTGAAAAGGCATGTATAAATTCTTATGGAGTACTTGGATATCTGAATTATAATGATGAGAACATAAGAGCAGCTGTGATGGAGAAGACCAATGGTCCATTCAGTTCATTATCCTGTTTTACACTGTAGCCAATGACATGCCCTCTGAAGGCTTATACGCAGGGAGTGGAGGCCAAAGCCTCCCCTGTTGCCTTCCAGCACTGATATTCATAGAACTCCACTGAGTCATTGTGGCCAATAGCCAATGACAGACCTGTCCACCATGAATTTATCTAATGCCCTTGTTGTTGTTGTTCAGTCGCACAGTTGAGTCCGACTCTTCGCAACCCCATGGACCAGCTCCCGCCAGGCCCTCCTGTCTTCCGCTGTCCTCTGAAGTTGGCTCAATTTCATGTTCGTTGCGTCGATGACACTGTCCAACCATCTCATCCTTTGCCGTCCTCGTCTTCTTTGACCTTCAATCTTTCCCAGCATCAGGGTCTTCTCCAGTGAGTGCTCCCTTCTCATTTGGTGGCCAAATGAGAAGGGTTTACAATGCCCTTGTAAACTCAGCTAAACCAGTGGCCATGAGTACAACTTGTGGCAGTGAATTCCACAAGTTAATTGCTCTTTGAGTACTCCCTTTTGTGTGTTCTGAATCTTACTGCTCATCAACTTTATTAGGTAACTGTGAGTTAAGAACATGACATAAGAGAAGCCAATGCTGGATCAGGCCAATGGCCCATCCAGTCCAACACTCTGTCACACAGTGGCCAAAAATACCAGGTGCCATCAGGAGGTCCAGCAGTTCTAGTAATGGGAGAGGGAGAAAAAGTTCTATTCACTTTCTTTATCCTATGCATAATTGTATAAACATGTATCATGTCCCTCTTTAGTCATTTTCCCTTAAAAGCCTCACATTCCTCTTCTAGTAGGGAAAATGCCCCAACTTTTGTTTGGTTGCTCATTGCTGCACCATTTCCAGCACTACAATTTCCATTTTGATATGTGCACTATCTGAATGTGTAATATCATATATTTAATATTTGAACTAGAAGACATATGCATTCTAGGGAAATGTGTGGAAAAGTCAGGGTTTTGAATTTTAACCAACACATAATTTCACTTTGCAACAGATGAGTGTAATATAGCTTAAAAATGCAGCACTTCATCTCAGCAAAAATACAACCTCCACCTCCAAGTGACAATGTTAATGGAACCATGTTTATCTAGTCACAGAGCTTATAGTTGTTTTAAAAGAGCAAGTGTTTGTCTCTTGTTGTGCTTAGATTGTGGTTTGATTTTGATGCACTATATTGATATTGCTAGTAATATCTGTGTGCTTGCTTATGTAATCCTGTATGATCTGGTCAACTGTTATGCAGACAGATAGCAGCAAAGATCTAAACAGCCTCCAGTCTTCTCTTCCCCAAGGAAACAAGATTGTTCCAAACGTTCAAAAACTGAAGAAAAGTTACCAGCAACCATAATATGGTTCTCCCACTCATCAAATTTCTAACAGTCAAGTATTTCTTCCTCTGGGATTAAAAAAAAAAATCACAAGGGGGAACCACACTGGGTAAGGCATATCCTTCTGCAAACCTGGTGTGAAAAGTTAAAAAAATATATGAGGGGCTAACCCCCCAAAGTGACAAGGGGAAAAAAAGATGGAGATGAGTTTGGGCAAGAGCCCAAATGGAGGGAAGAGTGTGGTGGAAAGCAGGTGTAGGAGAGGAGATAGGATCAAAGAAGAGGCCATAACGGTAACAGAGAAGGAAGGAGAGTGAGGTTTGGTGAAAGTGGGAAAAACAGGAAAGAAAAAAGAGTTGAGGGGGGAGCAGAAGCACAGAAAGGATTTGTCGGAGGAGAAACTGACAAAGGAAGAGTGGTGGGATGAGAAGCCGGGAGAGGAAAGTGTGGCTGGGGAGGGAAAGGGGGAGGCAGAACAACTGGGAGCATGGGTAACACGGCAGGGTGATGAGTGTGAGGGGAAGAAACAGAGATAGAAGGTGGGATGGTTGGCAAGAGGAGTCAGAGAAAGGGGAGCAGGGGATGAGAGGCCTCACAGGTTTCCTATGCTTCTCCAAAAGTGTTTCTATGAGAAAATAAGAGAGAAGGCACTGATTCTAAACAAATTGTTTAAAATCAATGGCTCTTCTCTTATTTTCTTATAGAATCTGTGAGAGAATTTATCTTTAAAAACTACTAATTTGTCATAGCTGTTATTGCCTTGCACCAGTGATACCCACTAAGAGGCTTGGGGGGGGGGGTACGACAGGGGGCTCTTTAACATGCCACCTGTGGCTCTTCTGAGCATGGTCCCGCTGGGATCCACCCCATATTCCTGGAAAGTCTGTGGTTTCTTTAGATACTGGAATCCTTTTGTTATTGCTTTATTCCCAAAATACAACTGTTTTATTTTTAAAATACAACAGAACTTGCCCATGATGATAATATCAAGGTTGTGCAAGATCTAGGGGCTCTATATATGAGGCTGGGTCAACATATGTAGCTGAATGTGGGAGTGGGATGGGGCATACCACTGTTGAATGCTAAGTCATTAAACAAAACTCCTAATAACAGGGAAAGACAATCGTACGTGCTCAGGCACTCTGGTAATTATATATCATTGTTTGTGTTTGGGGTGGTGTGCTGGGCATATAATAGTCATGTGGCTCTTCTGATTTATTAGAATTGTGATTCTGATTCTCTGTGATTCATGAAGTGAGGATCACTGCCCTAAGCTAACAGGAAAAAAAAATTACAGAAACAGTTAAAGCAACAGAAGGCAGAAACAGAAAAATTACAGAAACAGTTAAAGCAACAGAAGGCAGAAACAAAGGGTATATGTAAAGAGTGAGTGTTCAGACTAGTGCAGATTACCTAAGTGTTCCAATATGCAGTTATAACACAGATAAATCAACAGTTGCAAACTCCAGATTTATACATGACAGATTCAATATCCATTGCCCAAAGTGAGATCCATTTATTTTATTATATTTTGGATCAAAGCTTTTACTTCATAGGCACAAGAAGAGTAATATGCTTTTTAAAAATGCAACAATTTATATGCATTATTCCTTAGTGGGGAAAAAATAACTTTCATCATCATATGGAGAACAAATACAAACTCTAAAATCATATTTCTCTATCATACGGATTCAAAATAAAATTGCAATGCAAAAAGCAACACAAAATTCTGCACAAGATATTGCATGGTCTACTGTCTCTACAACAGCTAAACTTTACTTTTTTCACTTTTACGTCTTACTGTTTTTACAACCTAAGTCATAAAAAGCAAACCCTCATCTCATGGGAGGAGAACTTAAGAGTTAGTTGTCATGTAACTTAACAACAGCTGCCAAAAATTTCGCCACATACAGAGTGGTTTGTTTATCTTTGTCTCTAAGTAGCCAGGATGATTTCCCTTCTAGAGAGAGTTCTGATTAAATAATGGGGAGATCAGTTCAGCTCTTAGTTCTGAGAATTTAGGACAGTAGAAGAAGATGTGGTCAACAGAGTAAATTTTGTTACTGCCACGATTGCAGAGTTTATCTGAGTATGGGATTCCACTGAGTCTTCCTAGCGTCACTGCTGAAGGTAGGGCATTCAGGTATCCTAGCATGAAAGCCCTTCAGTACTTTGGAATAATTAACTCAGATAAATTGGCATTTTTGTTAGAGGAAGAATGCCAACTGAGAGGGATAAACACACTCTGCAGGCTCTGATCAGTGTGCTCTCATAATCAAAGCCCTTAAAACATCTTCTGATGAGCCGGGTCAATTCTTGACTACTCACTGTTTCCATTGCATCCTGGATAATACCCAGGCATGACAATTTGTAGTTCAGTAATCTACCCCAGTTGCTTATGCAGTGGTCCAGCTTAACTATTCCAAGGAAGCTTGATTCCAGATTTGATTTTAATATCCTAAATTTCAGATTAAATGCTCTTTCCCAGGCTTTTGCTTCAAAGGACATCTCCCCAACTTTGGCTCTCAGAGCTATTCCAGAAAAAACACTGAGGAACTCCTAAGATATTGTGCAGGAATCTTAGTAGAGGTTTATCAGTATTGTCTGTTACTGCTCTAATCCAGACCCCAGCAGCATATAACAGCTAAACTTTAAAACTTTTAGACTCCTTTTCCTAATTTAACATCTGTGCAATTCAGAGTGCAACAAGCATTGTGAAATAAATTGCACAAAACATACCAATCAGCAATACACCACCTTGTTCGTATGAAGCCTTTCCTGGACCATTTACACTGAAAAGAAAAACAAAAATAAACATAAATGTATTAAAATACCAGAAAATAGAAAGAGAGCACACCACTGGTACAAAGACATGATTTGCATATTATTGCATTTAAATATTTTCCTTGAGAATAGCAAAGGAAAAATATAACAGGCATAATATGGCAAGTAAACGGAGCATATTACCTTGTCAACTGCATGGCCCCAGTTGGCAGTGTTTGCCAAGGTGATGTAAAAGGGTATGGGAAAATAATTTGTAGAGGAGAAATCAGCATGCAAGAAAGTGATTCTGATTTTCAAATGTTCTTCTTCATGCTGGTTTCCGCCAGCCAAACATATTTCTGGTCATGAAGCCATGTTAAGGAAAGAGAAATGGAGGGTGTATAAACACCTCCTTTCCCCTCCCAACAGTTACTTAACATAAATGCTCCCCTCCCCTCTGATAAGAGCATTATGAAGCAAACCCCAAGTTGTAAAGCCAGTATTTCCATAGGACTTTTATACTAGCTGACACTAACAATCTTATGGACAGATATTTGCCGAAATACTGTGAAGTAATTATTATCTGACCCTCAGTTCAGGTAACTCCTCATTTAATGAAAGGTCAAAACCTTTCCACAAACTATGTGAAATAGAAATCTTCAGGAAGGTATTTTATAAAGGAATGGAACTACATTATAACAGAGAAAGAAGAACATAAACAGGGATGGGCACGGACCGGTAAAATGTGAACCACAAACCATCACAAACTTTTAGCAGCCAAATTAACTGGTTAGGTTCATGATCTGGTAGAACAGATCCTGTGCAATCTAGAGGCACCAAACCTGCAAGGGATCTCTGGCTGGCTCTCCTCTACCTGTCTTCCATGTTTGGTGAGGATTGGATATATAGGGTCCAAGTTACAGCCCCACAAAGAAGGTGCTCTCAGGAAAGGGCCTGTAATTTCCCCAGAAAGTGCTTTCCTTCGGCCACCTTCTTTGGTGGCCCGCAACTCAGACCCCATAAATCCAAATCACCAAACTTGGAGGGCAGGTAGAGGAGAGCCATCTGGAGATCCCCTGCAAGTCTGGTGACTCTAGCTTGCCCAGGATCCATTCTATACACTCATGAACCTGTGCAACAGGTGGACATTTTGACAGGTGCAGGTTCAGGAGTGTACAGAATGGATCCTGGGCAAGCTAAAGACACAAAGTCATAGGGGACCTCCCCTGGATGCTCTTCTACATGCCCTTCAAGTTCTGCCCCCCTGTTGCTTTGAAGTTTGTTAAATATTTAGATTGTGTGGAGACAGTCTGTATGGAAAACCATTCACAAACCATTCACAAACCAGCAAACAGCTTGATAGTTCGTGAAAAATTCATGCTGGTTGACCTGCGATGAACTTCACTTTGCAAACCACGAACTGGCCAAAATTTGTCAGAAACTTTAGCTCATGAGCCAGTTCGTGCCCATGCCTATACATAAAGATAAGGATATGTGGGTTGCCAGGAGAAGGGAATGAGAAAATAGTGTGGGAAGAAGGATAGAGGGGAAAACAGGGCACGACCTGCAACTCCTTGGGCGTTACCCACTGCCCAACTGAGCCATAGTTTTCATGGGTAGAGCATGCCATGGGAAGGGAAGGAGGAAAAGCTGAATACAAGTCAGATAAATATAGGTTTGCTGGTGGGTGGGAAGCAGAGACAAAAGCAGGAAAAGGGGAGAGGTTATGAGGACTTTCAGGGAAGGG